ACTGCCGCATGATTCTTGAGGACCAATTGCGTCGTTATCATAACCATCAGACCCAACACCGTAAATATTGGACATAAAGCGACGCAACAAACATTTACGACCCCATTGTCTCTTCTGATAAGCTAACAACTTGCGTAGTTGTCTAAGGTGTGCTACCGCGCTGCTACCGCTTGCCATACACCCAAGGTGCGTGCGGACTTTTTAAATAAATCTCTCAGCATCTCATGGTAATCGGCAAACCCGTAAAACGTCAACTGGGTTAAGAGGATATAGTAATAGTTCGTCAGTCTCGCAATTTAAACCGCTAAAATTTTTCTTTTTTATTCACATTGTTGATGTGCTCATTTATTAAAACAGTATTGGACGTACATGAGAAAAGGCTATTCTACAATTTACGGTACTTCAATAAAACAATTTGCAAAAAATCGGATAGAAAAGGCTCATGAATTAAACTTAAATATTGTTCTCGTCGCCTGAGTAACGAGCAGGTTTATCAACATTGATTCTCATCCCATTATCACAGCTTACTCGTATTCATTATACATTACGCAACAACTCTCTGGGTGGTAGTAACCGAAATTTAACTATAATAAAGCACATACTAATACTCTATATCACCTACTATCTCTGCTTGCGTCTCGATTCAGCTCTCGACTCGCTACCCCATTTGTAACTCCGCCCGCAACCCCGTTCATCACTCCATCCGTTACTACACTCTTTCCACTTTCGCTCGCACATTTCGTACTTTTCCTCTTCACCTGAAACACTTCATATTCTTCAACGCTAAACGTCTCTACATTTGAAAATATCGCCGATGCATAGCTTTCTGGTCGACAATAACAGCTTAATTCGTCTCTGAAATGCCCATGCAAACACAAATCACTCATCCAAAATCCGGCCCGCAGTCGCTATGCCATCCGACCGCATGTTCCTTGTTTCTCACACGAGATATCTTGCCATTATTGTTAGACAGTTTGATAGGAAGCTGTCTGTTGTACTCTGATATCCAACCTATAGGATTGTACCCGCCGATGAGATCGTTGGAACGGGCTGGTTTGATGAGTATCACTGTTGGTCCTTTAGCATCGCAGAGTTCATGGAATGTCTTTGGCGTAAAGCCGGACACAGACCCCCTCAGAAGAAGCTTGAAGAAATACTGGTTCTGTTTGAAGTAGTATTGATCACGACCTTTGCGATCTATCCAAGAAGCGAGAACATCAACATGTTTCCATGTAATGAGGTTAGAATCGATACCGGTACGCGGAGGAAGGACGTGCTAGGGATGACTGGTGCTAAGGATGACTGATCTTTTTAGAATGGCTTGGTACAACTCCCTCTGGAGAATTTTTCATATGGCTTAACTTGATTATGGAAATCTTCGGGGGCGGATGGTATCCACTCTTCAATCGCTTTAATGTCATGCCAAAACTCGAAAGTATTCGTCTACCTAATTGTTCGGATCGGCAGCCTAGTCCTCGGTCAGTCTCGTTTTCCCACAAGAAACGACGTAGTCCCATATCCACCTCGTCCATCCAAAGCCTAGAAATACTCAATAGGCCGACCAAATCCATGGTTCACATTTTCGTAAAAAAACTGCATCTGAATTGGTTCGATTATTCTTCAGGTTGCAATTTGTTTGCCGCTAGATGTCCAAGAACTTCTTTTCCTGCTTCTATTTACAAACAATAAATTAGAACAAATTCTTGCTTGAAGCGCAACGGAATATAATGGATTTGATAGAGAAATGAATCGAGATATTAAGTAACAAAAAATTCTTACACTAATCAACCCCACTCTTTCTCTGTCTCTCCCCTCCCGTTCCCTCCCAGCTGAGATGATTTTCTCTTTCTAACAATCATGGACCTCTCCTCAGTTCGATACGGATTGCTCATCCAAAGTTCAGTGTAAGAGGGGGGGGGGGCTGACCCCACTGTTTTTATATAACGACCTCGTAGTGAATGTTCTCCTGGGATTACATATCCCGTGAGTTGGCTTTCCTCCTCCTCCTCGACGTCCCGCACCTCCCGCACCTCCCACTCATTCGTTCTTTTTCCTAACATAATGTCCCACTCCTCTTTTTCTTCTCTCACCCCAGCCCACTCTATATCAACGTTCGGCGACTGGGTCGTAGTAGTAGTAGCGGTGGGAGTGGATGTCAATCGGGGGAGTACGCAACGGATAGCTCTATCTCGCCAGGACTGGGCGGGATGGCGAGGATTCTCCACCGCGAAGGCCTCATACATTTTATTTCCTTTTAGTTGGTCAGTTTTTTCTGCTACCCTTGCTACGTACCGGAATAGCAGGTCATCTTCTTCTTGAGTGAAAGGTATCCGTCGTTGTTTTTGTTGTTTCATGGTGAGATAATAATAGTAATAGAGTGAGAGAACACACAACGCGGGACGCGAGATGATTAATGGATGCACAAACACTGAGGTGATACACAAACACGTTTTGCAAAGCCTTACGCGTATGTAATTCCCGTGGACAAGATCCGATATAAAAATGATCATACAAATCTTGCGACCCCCTCCATTTTCCCCACTCCCCACCTTCCCCCTCTCCCCACTTCCTACACCCCCCACTTCCCCCACACCCCCCATTCACGTCAAGAACGCTGTGCGGCTCTCTTCACTTTTGGTAAGCTAAAAAGGTTGTCTTTTTTTAATGTACTTTAATT